CACTAGTTATTTAATAAATCATTTTTACGGTTTAGAAAACAGCCAATTGGCTTCGAAAACTGTGTAATTTTTTTAATTATCTTACAGGAAAAGTAACAATGATCAAGTAAAAGAACTTGGAGAAGACTCTTCTCTGCTAGCCATGCAGTTCTGTGTAGAACAATTATCACTTGAAGTGCAAAGCAGAGGTATAAAGTTTTTTTTAATTTCAGGCTTTTTTTGTGTATTAATTGGTAAAATTAGTGAAATATCTTTGTTGGTATATAACTATTTCACAGATGTTTGTAATGTTGTTTGTGGATAAAACTGGTTTTTAAAACTGTTTGATATCATTAACATTAATGAATCTGGGTTCTTTATTGGTAGGAAGATTTGATGACTTGTATTCTATTATTGAATTTCTTAGTCTGTGAAAAAAAAAATATTATTGAAGGCCTTTCATATTCTTAAATCTGATTTTTTCAAAGTGTTGTCAATGTTTTGCTTCAGTATGAGATTTAAGTTTGGACTTTTATGTCGTTTATTAATTATACTTGTCATAAGACATTATGTTAGGCTTATTATAACTCTACATTCTTAATCTAGTCCCTTAGGAATTTCAATAATTAATAAGAGTGCATAATAATAGTAGTTCAACCACACTATCTATGTCATATCCATTGAGTTTCCCTCAATCCAGAGCTTTTCAGTCTGGCTGGGATACACAGCAGTGGTCGGAACACTATTTACATAAGCCATTTGTTACAACAACAGTTGTTAGGGTGTGAACACCTTTTACTAACTGGAACAGAATGATTATAATTAGTAGTTATACTTTGTTGTAATACATTATGTTAGATCTATCATATTTTATGGTTTTTCTTAGTTAAAGATAACTAACGATAATTTATTGGTATTGAGACATAATTTCACTGTTTGTAATGTTGAGTTACAGCTGCATTTGTAGACTACAAAATTAAATTGCTTTTTCTTTTTTTGTACTTAAAAGGTAGAAGTATAGCAGAGCTCCAGGTCACAGGGGTCAAAGCTACGTTTTCTAAACGTCCATACGAAACGTCAGTGACGCTGTGTGTACATAGTCTCTTACTAATTGATGCTCTTCAGACTTATGGTCCTGATTTTGAGTTGCTGGTAGCATCACATAGACATGTGAGGTTTGTAGATAAGTTGTCATATGTAGAAAAAATCTTTCAAGTGCTAATTTTTATTAAGTAAAAAATAGAGTTTTCTTAAGATATTGCAAGCAAAATATGTGTTCAATATTCTGTAAATTTGTAGTAAAAAAAAATTGAAACAGAAAGAAAAATCTGATTATTTTTATTCTTCCTCTTGAAAAAGTAGTTCATCTTATAACATTTTACTTCTTTTCCATAATTATCAATCTTACTTGTATTTTATGAAGAACAAGCTTTCTTCGTACTATTATTGGTGAAATATACCCATACAAACAACGGGTCATTGTTGGGGCATGAGGATACATTTTCATCTGATCGTCATCAAGTTTCGTAAATGTAAAATTCGTTACAAAATTAAAATGTGTTTCATTTATAAAAATTGTACAAGTGTATATAAGTAAAGGGTTATAAATGAACTGCGTGATCGACTAGACCTATATGTTTTAAATATGAGCTGCTGCAGAGAAACGGGTATTTTCTGAGTATTGTGTAGTGGTTACATCCTGCAATGTTTTACGAATTCTCTAATAACCACTAACTATTTGTAATTTTATATTTGGCAAAATCCATATTGGAAAATTTTTCATGACAACTTGACTTGAGAATATGCTGTTCAAGCTGTACCTTGTTGCAGTTTCTGTGTGTTTTTCGTTATGGATAAATTATCATCTAACACCAGTCAGATGAATCTCTTGAGAATTGTCTAAATTTGATTCATTTTTTTTATTACATTTTGCATGGATTAACCTTGTGTACAAAAAAGACCCCTTTTTTTTTAGTTTTGTTAAAAAAATTTGGGTGACATTATAATATTTTACATTTTGAAGCATAAATATACTAGAAAAATGTGTTAAAGTTGCTAGTAATATCAGCAAGTTTGTGGTTAGCAAGTGATAATCTGCCACAGTATAAAAAAAATAAAATTGTATAAACAAAAAATAAACACTCACTACTTAAAATAAACTTCAGGGTAAAAAAGTTTATAGTGTTCTCATTAAAACCCATCTTCAAACAGTTTGTATTATAAGTAATGAGGAAAATAAGATATTAAATGCACTCTGAACATGAGCATAGTTTGCATTATACATCAAATGTTAATTGCTTTACACCTTAAAGTTGAATTGTTTTTTCCAGAAAGCTGTAATATTTGACTTTGCCAGCTATTTATTATTATTGTATTAAACTGTGTTGATTTGTTATTGAAATTTTAATTGTAATAATATTTTTAGTATGGATAGCATGAGTGGCAGTCTCAGAGACAGTGAACCTAACTCTCCAACTTCTCCAGCTAGTCCAGAAGCTGCATATTCTCCACTTTTGGGACGATCACCTCCTACTGTGCTGAATGCTGCTTTAAAGACCTTGCACACAACTTCAGAAAAAGGTTACTATAGTTATTGTGGTATAAACTAAAAGCACGTGCTTTTGTGTTATAAGTAACACTTAGTATATATATATATTTTTTTTTAAATGTAGAACAAGTTTTAGAACAAAAGAGCTAGCCAAGCTATACTGTTTGAGGATCAAATTTGGAAGATGGTCACGAGATTTTGAATCCTTCAGTGTATGTCGTGCATACATTGAGCTGATGATTTGTAATTAAGGGCTTAAGAGATTGTCAGCCCTCAATCAAAAAATCTTTGCTTACTTCACCTAGTTTCTCGGCTAGTTAGCTTGTACAGAAAGAGAACAACATCTAATTTAAAACACTGAAAAATATCGCCAGTAGTTATATTAAAGTCATTCAAGTAGAATTCCTTTTTGACTTTTAGAAAGTCGGTTTATGTTCCATAATTAACTTTCTTTCTTGATTTTGAGGAAGTGCGTGTTTACTATTCTGTAGTAAGGTGAAGTGGTTGTTTTTAGTGCTTTAATCATTGGAAAAATGGCTAGGTATACTGGATTTATTAACTGTGTAATCAAAAGTTACTAATGTTTGTCATTCTTCCAGCATTAAAGACATTACTTTAGGGAGTGTTGACAAAAATTAATGTGATCGGACTTTTTACCTGTGGATCAACTCCTTCGGCCCCCACAGTGGCACAGCGGTATGTCTGCGGACTTACAACGCTAGAATCCGGGTTTAGATACCTGTGGTGGGCAGAGCACAGATAGCCCATTGTGTAGCTTTGTGCTTAATTACAAACAAACAAATATAATCAACTCCAAGGTTACTAATTCGTTTTTTTTGTACGGCATGTCCGAAAAGTCTGGAACTTGAAGGAATTTTGCCGAATGTGTTCCACATATTGTCCTTGGTATTCGAAACTAGTTTGAATTAACAGTGGGATTGGCTCGAAATTATCATTATCATAATCAGCGACGTTTCTGAGATTAAGAAAAGCTGCAAATCACCTATGTTTCCAGATATTTTGGACACCTTATACTGTTCACTACCAGTAGGGTCCACATATTGAGTAATTTTTCAATTTTTTACTGTTACAGCATTCATTGTAAATAACTGACTAAAGGAGTTGTACCAGTAACCCTTAAAGTTAATACATCAACTCAATTTTAGTTGTGAAACCTTCACAAAAAGTAACATGTATTGTCACATTTCCACATTGTAATTCCACTGATTTCCTATAAATATCTGCCTGTCGAATAGCAATGTTTCGATCACTGAATATATCTATTTAAATAGTGATGCATGTGGATTTTAGGCTTCTAATACAGCATTCCACATCTTTGTTGGTTTTTTTTAGCACGTAAGATTTCTGCATCGCCTTTCAGCTCATCACCTTACTCAAACAAATATGAAGATTTTATTGAGCCAACAAGTAGAGATGCCTTGATCGTCATGGAGTTCACAGTCACCCATAAACCATCTCTGGTTGACATAGAAAGAGGTGGAGAAACTTTACAGATTGCCAGCTTACAGTTTAACACACTTGATATTACAGGTAATGTATACCTAACCAACCTAATAAACATTTGGCTCTCACTGGCCTCCTACAACATGTGTTAGTGAACAAAAAACTGAATTGTAGATATCCCCGTCACACCAAACATGCTCGCCCTTGCAGCCGTGGGGGCATTATAATGTGACGGTCAATCCCACTATTCATTGGTAAAGGAGTAGCCCAAGAGTTGGCAATGGGTGGTGATGACTAGCTGCCTTCCCTCTAGTCTTATACTGCAAAATTAGGGATGGCTAGCACAGATATCCCTCATGTAGCTTTGCACGAAGTTCAAAAACAAACAAACATCAAACACTAGATTCCAGCTTTTCATTTCTTTGATATTTACAACTAGAGATTGATGATTAATCAGTTACCTATGAGCATCGGTTAGTAACACACAAATTAATCAGTTGATTAAAGATTAATCTTACAAAGTAATTAACTAATTGAAATTAATGTTTCCAATTATTACTGTTTTTAATTGATCCAACTATCCATGTACTCAAAATATTGACCTTTTGATTTCTCATTATTATTATTTTTGATAAATTCAAGGTTATTATTCTTAGTAAATTAGTGTCACAACTTACCAACAATTACCACCTAATCATACATGATGTTAGAAGAACAAGTAGGTTGAAGAAATCAATTTAACACAAAAATGCGATGCCCTATAACCCAAATGGTGAACCTTTCGAAAGTGCTTTGGTTATAGAATATTTTTGTGTTACGTCACCTAATCATAGTTAGTGTTTCCGTTTATTACTATTTTCAATTATTCCAACTATCCAAGCATCCTGTGAGAATAATTGATTGGTTGAATGTAATTGTTTAATGAGCCCAATGATTAATCAGATATCATATTCCACTTATCGTCCAACAAAGATAGTGGATTTGTAGGTGAAATTCTTTTAATAACTACGTAACTGAAATAATTTTTTCTACAAATTGTGAGAAATTAATAAGAGGCATGAATAATTGATATATTTTGACCCTGATAGTTTTGATACATAGTACTTAGAGTGTATTAAACTTGTGCGTAACGGGTTCTGAAATATTTTATGATTTTTAGTATAACTAAAAAACAAGAAGGAAGAACATGTTAAAATCAAGTTTTGAGTTGGAGAAAAAAACATAATGACATTGTAGCTGCAGACTAGTAGTTTAACAGAGAATATTTTTATAAATATTTAGCTTAAAACTAACATTCATATAATTTAAATGTTTACTCATGTGCATTACATATAAATTTGTTTTTGTATTATGTATCATAAAATATTTTTGCTATAACTTTATCTGAATTGAGTGTTAATTGTAAACGTGTTATACGCTTTTGCAGCTAATCAGGAAACTATAGTGGAATTAGTGGGGTTTCTTCGCAGAATCAGTTCTATTGCCTCAGAAAAAACACCTTCATTACATAAATCAGCAACAGTTACTCCACTTGGCAGCGAAGGAAGCCCAGGGGGTTCCTTATCGTCACTAGGACACGATGGTGTGGTATGTTAGGATCATCGGATTAAATAATTGCTGTTTCTTCATTTTTATTATTATTATTCTAGGATTAAAATATTTCATTTTAACTTAAAATGAACAGCTCTTTTAATATGTGGAAAAAAAGGTCAATAGTTATAATTTATCTTGAAGCTATTGTTATTCAAACAATTATTATTTTTCCACAGAACAAACAGCAAACAGATGTAACAGTTCCTTTTGTCAGGACTGAACTGACCTTTGATTTTCATCGTCTGAATGTGCTTTTGTTACGTGCCGTGAGCAAGAAGCATAATACTGTTGGGCAGAAGGTTGCTACAGCAACAATGAGTGGTGCTCATATTCATGCATCAATGGGTAAGTGTTCAAAAGTGTTTTTGTTGGTTTATTAGTAACTGTATTTATAATTTAACAATCTAGCTGTTAGTGTGAATTAGAGGGTTCGTAGCCCATTATGACAAAAAAACGCGTCCTGCACTTTGGAGCTGTGGCTGCACTATAAGATTGATGGAGTAATCCAAAAGTTGGCAGTAGTTGCTGTTAACTATCTTCTTTCCCTCGAATGTATCATTCAAAATTAAGAATAACTATGTGCAGATATCCCTTTGTGTAGCGTTGCTCAAACTTTTCGAAATGAATGAACAACTGATACTTGTTTCCCCATTCTTTGGTTTAATTTAGTGTGACTGACTGATATTTGTTTTCTCATTTATTGGTCTAATTTTAAGCAACTGACAATAAAATTTCACAAAATCCCTTAAACTCAGAATGAGTAGGTAAAAACTCTGCAAAACTCTTATGGCAGGAAATGTAATTTTGTTTGTGTGCTAGTAAAGCTTTTAGATTACATCTCAAATATTCAGTAAAATTCATGATAAAAAAATAAATTTACTAACATACCTAGTTTTATACTTTGTGATAAGAGTAAAATCTTTAAGAAGTAAATGGTGTTTTTAGAAATAAAAGACCTTTAAAATATGTTGTTATCTTACAGGGGATGGTATTAGAATAAGTGGTGACCTGGGTGGATTACAGGTTTTAGACTTGGCAACAGAAAACACAAAACACCAGAGAATCATTAGTGTTGGTTATGATCCACTGTCAGAGGTTCAGTTAGATCTTCTGACTCGTTTGCAGGCTGATTTGTATAAACCACTCTCCAATATTACAGCTGAAGCTGAACCTCAGAAAGCTTTGACTTTTGTGGTAACTCGTAGCTCTCACGACTGTGCTAGTTCATCTCCAGTTTTAGAAGCAGAAGGAGGAAGCATTTTGAAAGAAGACGAGACAGAGACTTTGGAAGTAACGCTGCGAATGGCCTCGGTTTGCTACACTCATTCCCCAAGACTTATTTACGAGCTTGCATCGTGTGCTGTGGAGTTCAGGGAATACATGGTAGCTCTTGCAAGTTCTATCAAAACAGCGGCTACAGGAGTTGCCATTGGTATTGTGACAAGACGTGCCAACAGTCTCTCTGCTTCATTTCATGGAGGAAGTGCTGAATTACTGACAACTCGGAAGCGTCATGGCAGTGCTTCGGCAGAGGATGTTACCGAAGAAGTTCCTTGTTATATTGGGGATGATACAGAAGAAATATTAAATTTAGAGATCAAGTTAGTATTATTTGTGTAAAATTTTAGAAATAAGTAGTATATCTTTATGTTTTCCCAAAATAATCCAAGAGAGAAGTTTCGATATTGGTAAACTTTTTGACCCTTTCTCAACAGTTTTCTTGAAACATATTTTTTCTATTTGAAATATAATTTGCATATTTAAAAACAAATTAAGATTTAGTATACTATATATTAAGCTGAAGCTATAGAAGTTTTTGAATAAAAGTATTGTATCAGATTAATCTTTCAATTTGTGTATTTAATAATGGTGATGATACCCATTGGAGCAGATCTAATGTCAGGTTTACATTTCAGCTCTTGTACTTACATAATGGTGACCCTCATTTTGATCCATCAGTTTAAATATGTGATTTAAAGGAAGAAATAATCCAATCAAATTTAAGGTACTAGAAATATAACTATGATAAGTAAAGTGGGTTGGAAAAGTGTATTAATTATGAAGTACAACAAGTACTTAAACATAATCAGAAACTTATAAATTGTAGAAACTTTACATGTGGAGAAGCAATTATTATTATTATTATTATTATTATTAACTAGTCTAAACTTTGTACTGTATATAGAAGGTGGAGGGTAGAAATAAAAAATTAAGCATTCATTATTTTAGAATTTTCTGTGTTCTGTGTTTCGTAATGCCTAATTTTGAATAAAAAAAAGTCATGATTTATTTATACAATTATAAATTTAAAGTTGATGCCAAGGTGTTCAGAATAGTTTTGGAGATGTGACTAAATCTTAAATCAAAGGACTAAAAGGTAAAATACTTTACAAGGCACAAATTAGATTTATTGATTGCTTTGAGTGACTTTTAGGTCAGAATATAAGAATTTTGTTTGTAGAAAAAAAAATTTACAGTGTAATATAAATGTATTTTTTTCAATAATGTTATATCACAGATCTTGATAGTAAGCAGTAATATCAAAAATTTTTTGTTTCTTTTACAGACTGGATGTTTTATTGCAAACCCCTGTTATCATATTACCAAGTGCACCTGCTAGTGCAGATGTTCTGGTAGCACATCTTGGGCAAATTCGAATACAAAACCTAAATTCTGCCTCATTAGAGTCTCCACAATTCACCCTTAACAGCTGTGATTCTTTCAAGTCGGATTCGTTTTTTGTGGAGATCCGACAAATGAACCTTTATTCTCTAAACATTGAAAGAAATATCAGAACTACTTCAACGGGGATAAATAGCTTCTGTAGTGGTCCTGAAGTTAGTTTAATGCCAGTGCAACACCTTTATTCTTGTGCTCAGAATGGTTTTCCTATTCTCCATGACACCATTATAGAGTTCACAGTTGCAAAGCAAACTGCGCCATCGGAGATACATTCTGAAGACACACAACAGAATTTCATATTTGATGAAGAGGGTATGATACACCATGATATCTACAGCAGGAAAGACACAATTAAAGTAAGCTCTTTGGTAGCGGTGTTACAAAATTGTCATTCTACTTTAAATAAGATAATTATCTGAATCTACTCGATAATTGACTCAAATGAGATAAGGGGAAATAAGATTTATTTGCTAGTTCAAATCAGTTTCACAAATGGGAATGAAGATAATTTTCTTGATGTTCCATTGTGCGGTGATGACTGCTATTTTGGCCCTCTTATGGTTTTAAACTTGTTTCATGTTTGTGAAATTCTTTCAGGTGTCAAGTGCACATCTGAATATCAAATTAAAATGTTAAGTACAAATAATAATTCTGACTCCTTTTTCAACAATTTTTACCTCGGTGATATTTTAGAATTGATACTTTAACATCTTGTAAAATGTATTTAATGTAAGTTTGAAAGATAAATGATAAATGTTAAAAAGATTCATTTCTAAGCAGGGTCTCGCTTGTATATTATTCTGTCCATCCAAAAGCGTACACTTATACTTGCTAAGAATCTTTAATCCGTTAAAAATATAATTATTCACATCTTGTTTCTCACATGATTTATATTATCTTTCACTGGCTATATTATTACAGCCTTGTTTCCCCCTCCCCTTTTATAATATCACAGCATGCAGTCTGAATAATTACTGATGAAACACAGCTTTGAAAATAGCCACTAGCAAAGCCTAATTACTGTTAGGTAGCACATAGTATAAACTATTTACATCAATGTAGAGTGAATAAATTGGTCTGAGCATGGGAAAATGACTACATGGACCACCAGAAAGAATGAACATTGGAATCTAATAGGATGTTCATAAGATTTGGGGAACAAACCACATATCTGGGAGTTATTTTATAGTTTTTTTAGACTTTCTTGTCATTCCTGAAAATGTTGCGTGTTAAATTTTATCTGTTTGAAAGCTACAACACTTTTCTTCTCTGACAATAAATAAGTTTAATCAGACTTAGAAGTATGGTAAGTGACAGCAAAATATTCTGAAAACATAAATCCTTGTTTATTGAATATTGTTATTAAGTTTATTGTATTCAATCATGAATAGAATAACATATTTATAAAACTATACTTCCCATACATAAATTGATTTTTACCAAAGAGTGTTGTTAGCAAAAATATTAATCTAGCCAGACAATGGCAATGTGGATGCTAATGTTAAAGGTCACTGATAAATCTCCTTTAGTCAAGTTGAAACTTATAGGATATATACAAAATGGAACTTTGTTATTAACAGTAAAAACAATTGGAAGTCTAAGTTGAAGAAAAGTATTTTGATGTTTTTTTACAAACAGTTTCTCATAATACACACACACAAAAAAAAGGCTCTCATTGGCTCCTTGGTAAGTTCTTAGTATTATCATGCTAAAAATCAGGTTTCAATACCAGCAGTGGGCAAGACGCAAGTAATCCATTGTTTAGCTTTGTGCTTAATAATCAACAAGAACATTTTTTGAAATTTCACAACTTAAAAAAATGGTATTAAAGTTAAATCTAATTACATTAATTTATTTATGCCAGAACAAGGTACTGTTGAGTAAGTTTGTGCTAAGATTCATGAAATTTAGTTACGTATTTTCTCTCTGAGAAGGAAAAGATCAAGGGATATCAATGACACCTCACTAATTATTCCTTATCTCATAGCACATTACTAGAGTTTTAAAAACATTGCTTGCATTGTTATGATGACATAGTATAATCTGTTGATGAAAAATAAGTATTTATTTCATCATTACAATTAGAATTAATTACATCTTTGATAACATCATTCTTTTCTTGTTTAACTTCAACTCCACACCCCCTGGTGGATCAACAGTTACCCTGAAGTGTTGTATGATTAAATTTGGCTCTGTGTTGGGCATAGCACATTGCATGTTGTGTAAATTTGTATTTTAAAAACAAATCGACATTTCAAACTTTCACGAGTACCTACTGACAACACCTTCTCTGTCATGCCCCTTTGATATAATTGGGTTTCCTTTATCTTTCTGTATCACTTGGTTGTATGTATAGGAAGGTCGTAAACTTTTTACGTAACCTAAGAATTAATACAATTTGAAACAAGTTTTTTCTGTCAGTTTTGTGATCTTTTCATAAAAGCTGTTGGAGGACCTCATTTTTTGAAGCATATGTTTATTTAAGAAAATAAAACAATTTAAATAAAACCTTCGAAACTTTACTATACATTCACAATTGTTTTAATTGAAGATCAATGAATTAGAACCTTTTAAGGTGCTTTTTTTTGTTTTCAGTTATAACATTTTTAAAAGAATTAAAACTAGAAGTGTTGGTAGAACATTAGCAGTCGTTTTGGTTGTAACTTCTAAAATCCTAGATTCTGTGTTATTTATTTAGAATGTAATGAGTAATTGTTTGTTAATTTCTGTAAAATTTAAACAGATACTTATTTAGAGGTTTATTTTATTCTGATAATTGAAAAAAAATATATCCATTTTGTTTGTTTAATGTTATAGAAATTCAATTGTTCTTATTATGATGTTGCTGCTCTGTGTCCTCCTGTTTGACTTTGATATTTTTATTTATTAAGCTAACTGGTCAAGTGGTCACCCCTTTGAAGGTTATCCTTTCGAAACCTCAGTATGAACAAGTGCTGAAAACCTTAGACAACTTGACCTTTGACGGTTACGACCAGTCAAGAGATCTTTCATCAGAACATTCCTTGAATACTGTAATTGAAGAAAAGGTACAATATATATAAATAAAAACAAGGTTGTTTTGTGTCTTATTGATTTAACGGTGTACTGAGACTAATGTTCTACCATATTGACTTCATTCAGATGCTTTAGAATTCCAGAGGTATATCTAGTTAAAATATTATGGTTTTTTCGTATGTTTTTTTAGCCTCAAAATGTATTTTCTATCAAATGTTAAAAACAAACAAGTGAATGTCAGTATGAAAATAATTAATATATGTTAAGAATCATCTGTTGTTGAAATTAGAGTTAGCGTAACAAGCTTAGCTTAGGAAACAAAATTTGAAAGAATGTCACTAGTTAATTTACACCTTTATACTTTGTGCATAGGTTTCTTAATATCATTTTTTGATATATGTTTCAGGAATTCATAGCCTTTAGAACATTACCCAAAATCCATGCACAAATCAGAATAAATATTCCATAATACGTATTTCAATAAAGGTTGGAAACTAGACCTCTTAGCTTTCATGCAGACTATCTGTAGAAGTAGTGACCTTTGAGACAGAGGTTGTTAATAGGGCACTGTGGAAACATTAAACTCAAATCTCATCATTTTAAAGCTAGTTATCTTGTTCTTTAATAATATTTTAAATGTTGTATAAGTTGGTTTGTCCAGGTAAAATGAGACACCAAATGATTACGTACCCTATTTTTCCCGTGGGTATTACAAAAACAAAAAAAAGTAAAATTTGAGATTTTAGCCAATTGAATTGAATTTTCTTTATTTATATTCAGAAAGAATTGGTGTCTTTTTCATTGTTGTTGTTGTTTTAATTTTTTACTCTGGACAATTGTAAGATCTGTTAGAATGTTAAAAGGATGAATGTTTCTATAGGATGAAGATGCGGGACTTTATCCAAGTGTTTCAGCACTGAAATTAGATGAACATTTTGAAAACCAGAGAAGACATTCCAAAACAAAGTTACCACAAGATGAAATCCAGAGTCGAAACCTAACTTCAGTTTGTGCCTATTTCACAGTTCCAGAGTTTGTAGTAGGGTTACAAGGGGATCTTGAAGAACAAAGTATAGTGAATCTTATTTTCAAAGAGTTCACTCTGAACTATGAGAAGGAAGATCCATATGAAACACTGATACAGGTACAGTTTAATTACTAAATGAGGTAAAAAGAACGGTTTATTTTCATTGCACATCACCTTTTAAAAGTAGTTAAAGATGTTAAATATTGTTTGTAACTTAAATAAGCTTAATGTTTTTATTTTAGATTTTAATTAATGAAAGTTTTAAAAATAATTTGCCACAATTTATATAATCTATTCAGTAATACATCTAGTATTGTTTCTTGGCAAATGGTGTGATAATAACTGCTGTATTTTTTTAGTTTTGTGCATTGACTATGCCATGTGTTTTTGACTTTTATATTTGTCACTCAGATGAATTGTAAGTCAACCAGTCTTTTGATACACACAAACAATATTATTTACTGCAAGAAGTTGCATTTTCTTTTTCTTTTTTATACCAAAGCAATTATTTTCAGTATTACATTACAATGTTATTTTTAACTACATCACAAATGTTTCCAACAACATTAAAAATTTTAATCATTTGGTATTGTAATTACTTTTATTTGAAAAAAAAAAAGTTTATGATTATTTTTGTGTTTCATAGGTGTCTCTTCATTCTCTGTTAATGGAAGATTGTCTTGTACCTTCACATTCCAAGCATCGCTTTATAATGGTATCATCGAGTAAGGAGTCAGCATCCAGCCATTCCTCAACACCTACCAAATCCCTTTTCTTGTCTACTTCTTGTCCAGATATGACAGATCATTTGCCTTTAGTCATGAGTCATCCTTCCTTGCCAGATCGGTTACACACCCAAAATATCTTTAAAGTACATCACAGCAAGACAGCATCATTGCGAGGTATCTGTATTTGCTTTCGTGTTTGTTTGATTGGTTAATATCGGTTTTTAAAACATTTTAGGTATTACTTCCACTTACAAAATATTTCAAGAAAGTGAATTTTTCTGTTGACCATTGCAACTTTATTCAGTCGTAGAATGGACTTACCAAAAATTGAAACATGATTTTTTTTTTTTTACACATATTCATACTGAAGATGACATTTATTTCATTTCTGGCCATCGGAGCACTAAGTTCATTTACGATTTTCTTTTACAACAGTGTGAAACTGATTTTGGTTTTTCTTTTAACCCCAGAAATTATTACTATTTTTGATGTTTTCATTCTTCTTTCAATAGTTTATAGGAAAGGTTTATTTTT